TGCGGGATTTTTTGTATTGTTTTTTACGTATTCAGCGCATCAAAATCCGTACGACAGCCTTTTCAAAACTCGGCTTATACGAGAAATGCTATTTGACCTTGAAATAGAAATTTTCAAGGTCAGGATTATCAACAGGAATTTTTTAATTATTTTTTACGTATTCAGCACATCGAACTACATACGAAAACCGTCTCAAAACTTGATTTATAGTAGAAATGAAATTTGACCTTCAAATGGTGATTTTCAAGGTCAAGGGTGTCTGCGAGAATTTTGTTACTATTTTTTTCATATTCAACGCGTGAAATTACATAGAAATACCCTCTCGAATCTTCATAAGAAAAGAGACAAATTTTTTTCCATTGTACTTTACGTTGTCTGCGGGGCTGGTCCATATATGGACCAGCAGTCAGGTCAGCGACTCTATCTGAGATATCCAGTGATATTATGTATACATTTTACATATTCTGAGAGGTCAATTTGTACTGAAATTTCCCCGCAGCCTAAAGGTTAAGGTGTCATCAGCGAACATTTTTATACTGCATCATTCTGGGCAGACTTTGTGTTAAGTGGACTTTCGAGTAGGCGGTTTTTTTTGTGTTTCCCGCGTAAGCGCGGACCTCGGTGTCGCGGGCGCGCTTCGGCGGCGTACTAGTCCGCGCGTTTTTCGGGCGCCTTCGGCGCTCTTCGCGACTCTTCGCGACTCTTCGCGACTCTCGTCTCTACGCGTAAACAAGAACGCGTTGCGACAAGATTACTACTAGATAACACGCAACGATATAATACCCTCTCAAGCACGTTAAGAAAGAGTTTTATTGTGAAATTAGATAAGATACCGAGATCGATCGCCCGCTGAAGTTGTAAAATAAATCATCTTTAAAGCAAAGGAAGAGTCCATTTCTTCCGCCCGTGTCTCTCGAAGCACTTTTTCCTGGAGGTTACACGGACAAATAGCACAGACGCAACANATCTTTAAAGCAAAGGAAGAGTCCATTTCTTCCGCCCGTGTCTCTCGAAGCACTTTTTCCTGGAGGTTACACGGACAAATAGCACAGACGCAACAATTTGGTCCTTCGAGCCGGATATTCAGGATTTACGACATCAGCGTAGCTGCGATCAACGGTTTAATCGAGATCGCTTCATCCCAGCAACGAACGACTCGGAAACCCTTCGGAAATCGTTCAACCAGCGACTACGCACGCACACAAGCGTACAAGGTTACAGCCGAGGAGGTTACGTCGAGGAGTTCGCCCGATTCCTAGAAATCAACTGACTTCGGGGCTGCGTATTCGACGCCTGTGCCTTGCAGAGGGGACGTCCAGCCATCACGCCGTGTTCTACACGCCGCGCAATTAGCTTGTAAGGTAAGGGCAACGTTTCAGTAGTCGTCGCCAGCCAAACGATTTTCTCGGGTACGCGGGTTTGTTTTGCCGTGTCAAAATGTCTAACGAAGAAAACCCCGCCGTGTTGAAAAAACAGCGAGCTGTCATTAAAGGCTCTTGTACGAGAATTAACACATACGTAGAAGCTATTACTAGTCCTACCCCGATGGTAGTGGCTCAACTCGAGGAGCGAAAAAAGAGGTTAGACAGTTGTTGGTCCGAGTATAACCAAGTGCAAACGCGGTTGGAGATGCTCGATGAGGCCGAGGGCGAGGACCGGTTTGCGTTCGAGGAGGCCTTCTATGCCTTGTCGGCTAAAATTCGAGGGTTGTTGAGTTCGCCAGTACGCAGCGCCGACGCATCTCTTCGGCCGGTAACACCTCACGAACCGCAGGAATCTTTGACGCACGTGCGTCTGCCGAAATTAGATCTTCCATCGTTCTCGGGCAAATACGACGAATGGTTTCCGTTCTTTGATGTATTTAATACAGTTATACATTCTAATGCATCTCTTAGCAAGGTGCAAAAGTTTCAGTACTTGAGGGCTTCCCTAACCAATGAGGCAAAGAATATAGTAAATTCCTTGGAGATATCAAACGCGAATTACGATGTCGCGTGGAAACTGCTCAAAGAACGTTATGACAATCAACGAGTTATCGTTCAGAACCATATCAAGGCGATCATGGAACTACCGTTGATGAACAAAGAAAATTATGCTGAACTACGACAGATCGCGGACGGAGCCGCGAGACATCTACACGCCCTTCAGGCATTGAAACGCCCGGTTGACCAGTGGGACGATTTGCTAATCCACGTCCTCAGCTCAAAGCTCGATCCGCGTACGTTACGCGAGTGGCAGTCGTCTCTCACGGGCACTGAATTACCTAACCTCAAACAGTTTTTTGCCTTTCTTACGCATCAATGCCAAATGCTCGAGGCTACCGACAAATCGAGCGCTTCAAACGTAAGAAGTGGTAGCATTCGCACTCGTTCGCAATCGAGTTCCAAACAACAAGCATCTTGCGTCGCGACAGTCAAATCTAAGTGCAGTTACTGCCAGGGTGAACATTCCATTTATTATTGTAGGGGCTTCTTAGGACTCTCGGTATCACAGAGAATATCAGAAGCTCGCAGCCGAAAGATGTGCCTCAACTGCTTGCGATCTTCTTCCCACGACTCAAGCAAGTGTACGTCAGGAAGTTGTAAGGTTTGTCAAGCAAAACACAATACGCTGCTTCACGCAACAGCGACACCAGCAAATTCTTCGGACCACGGCGGGGACAGCGGTGAAAGGCCTAAAGCGGTTAGTCAGGTAGCTAGCCCTGTCACTAGCGTATCTAGTTTGGTTGGAGGCAGTCACGTCATGTTGTCTACGGCTATCGTTTACGCGTGTGATAGTCAGGGTTCACTTACGCCGTGTCGCGCGTTGCTGGATTGCGGTTCGCAAGCAAACTTCATGTCAAAGAGTCTAGCAAACCGTCTCAGGTTAAAGCCGGAGTACTTAAACGTGTCTATTTCCGGCATAAGCGGCACTGCCGCAACTTCTACGCAAGTAGTTCAAGTCAGAATACAATCCCGATTAAGTTCATACACAAACTCCATCAGTTGCATTGTTACAGATCGTGTGACTGAAAGGCTCCCAGCGTTCACGCTGAAGCGCAGAGCATTAGACCTCCCACGCAATCTCCGGTTGGCTGATCCTCAGTTTCATGTTTCGTCGGAGGTGGATCTCTTGCTCGGAGCGGATGTGTTTTGGGACCTGCTGTGCGTAGGACAGATCAAGGCTTCTAACAAGCATCCTACGCTTCAGAAAACGCTGCTAGGATGGGTCATTGCAGGTCGGTTTTGTGGTTCGACTCAATCACCACACAAAGTACACTCGTGTCACGCCGCCGTAACGAACGTTCAGTTGCACGAACAGTTAAGTCGCTTCTGGCAATTAGATCACAATTTCGAACAGGTAACCAGTTACACTATCAACGAGAACCTGTGCGAACAACATTTCTTAAGAAGTGTAACTCGGAACCCACAGGGTAGGTTCGTAGTCAAACTGCCCATCAAGGAGCAGGTGTTGCACAAGCTCGGAGGTTCATATGACATCGCGTTAAAGCGGTTGAGAAGTCTGGAAAGACGCTTTCAACGTGATACGGATCTTAAAGATCAGTATACACAGTTCATCAAGGAGTATTTGGCGTTGGGTCATATGCGACTTCTCGACTCGCAGCCCGTTGACGATTCCATGTCCTGCTACTTACCGCATCACTGCGTGTACAAGGTCACGAGTCAGTCACGCAAACTACGCGTTGTGTTCGACGCGTCCTGTAAGACTAGCAGCGGCGTGTCTTTAAATGACGCTCTCATGGTCGGTCCGGTCGTGCAGCAGGACTTGATGTCTATACTGATTCGATTTCGCAGTTTTCGTTACGTCTTCACGGCGGACATAGTAAAAATGTACCGTCAGGTTCTGCTAGACCCTTCGCAAACGCGCCTGCAGCGAATCCTGTGGCGTGACGACCCTAACGACAGAGTCGACGCTTACGAGTTGAATACGATCACCTATGGCACTTCGTCTGCATCTTACCTGGCTACTCGATGTTTGTTGCACTTAGCCGAACAGCACTCTTCTCAGTTTCCCGTTGGTGCAAACCGCGTCAAACGGGATTTTTATATGGACGACTTGCTCACCGGAGCGGACTCTTTGAGCGAAGCCAAGCTAGCGCGAGACGAAATCATAGGGCTGTTAAGGCTGGGGTTGTTCGAGTTAAGCAAATGGGCGTCTAGTTGCCCAGAGTTGCTCGAGGGCCTGGATGATCAAAACCGAGAACTCGTTGTCATAAAAGGTGAAACAGATTCGTGTATTCTAGGAATTCAGTGGAATCAGGTTACCGACACGTTCCATTTTTCTTATGAGCTAAGTTCAACAGGTGACGTTGCGTCTAAGCGCATGATCCTATCCGAAATTGCAAGGTTGTTCGATCCACTGGGCCTTTTGGGGCCGGTCGTTGTTGTCGCGAAAATAATACTTCAGGATCTCTGGCAGGCGGGCGTTCAGTGGGACGAGTCCGCACCCCAGGAGATCCATACTCGCTGGTCCGGACTTAAGTCTCAGCTGACCAGTTTAAACCAGGTGCAGGTTCCCCGTGGTGTCAAGTTCAGGTCGGATCCGCACCTCGTCCAGTTACACGGGTTCTGCGATGCCAGTCAACGAGCGTACGGGGCTTGCGTCTACGTACGCACTCGACTCGGACTAAACGAGTGGCGTTCTGAGCTGCTGTGCTCAAGGTCTCGAGTCGCACCGCTCAAGGCGGTGTCCTTGCCCCGGCTAGAATTGTCCGCCGCGTTGCTGCTAGCTCGGTTAGTAGTCAAGGTCGGTGAGGCTTTGAGTTTAACTTCGGTGCAGGTCTTCCTCTGGTCGGACTCCACCATCACTTTAAACTGGATAGCTTCGCCATCCAGAAGGTGGACGGTGTTTGTGGCGAATCGGGTCGGGGAGATACAACGTCTAACCGAGGCTAAGGATTGGCGTCATGTAGCTTCACATAGTAATCCAGCTGATCACTTATCGCGCGGATTAGATCCTCACGAATTGTCTAGCGCGTCGCTGTGGTGGCATGGGCCCTCTTTCTTACAAGCTGAGGAGGAACATTGGCCGGACACCGGGTTTCAGCGATTAAAGGACGGTATGCCCGAACAAAGGGCGGTAGTGGCCACCGTGGCCGTAATTCAAGATCACGTCGTCAATGAGCTGCTAGTCAGGGTCTCCGGCCTCAACAGGGCGTGTCGTATCCTGGCTTATTGCCTAAGATTCCTCAAAGCGCGACGACCGACCTCGCCCACCAGACTCGTATCCCACGAGGAGGCGGCGTTCGCGCTAAACGTTATGTGCAAAACGGTGCAGGCCCTGGCATTCCCTGGTGAAGTCGGAGCGCTGACTAGGGGGGACAACGTCAACGCTCGTAGCAATATACTTTCGCTAGCTCCGTTTGTAGACGAAGGTGGTTTGTTGCGAGTAGGTGGCAGGTTAAGGAATTCGGGTCTGCAGTTTGACGCTTGCCATCCTGTTTTGTTACCCCGCAGCCACACGTTAACTTTACGGATAGTGGAACACGAGCACCTTCGAAACATGCACGCCGGGACTCAAGCCACCATGGCAGCCGTCAGGCAGCGATTTTGGCCGCTGTCGTTACGATCCACCACACGTAGAGTCATACAAAGGTGCGTGCCTTGTTCCAAGGTCAAACCGCGGATGTCTGAGGCCATAATGGGTGCGCTGCCGGCCGGGCGCGTCACGGTCTCGAGGCCTTTCTCACATTGCGGAGTCGATTACGCCGGGCCGGTAGTATTGAGAGAGGGTAAGAGGCGCAATGCCAAAAATCATAAAGCGTATGTATCAGTGTTTGTTTGTTTCGCTACAAGAGCGGTACATTTGGAGTTGGTTAGCGACCTCACTTCGGACGCGTTCATTGGCGCGTTTAAACGGTTCATCTCGCGACGAGGGAGGCCCTCTCACATGTACTCAGACAACGGAACCACATTCGTAGGAGCCCGAGGACAGCTCAAAGAGCTGTATAGTTTTTATTGTAATCAGCAAACGCAGTCCGACGTTGAGCGATTTCTGTGCGAGCAGGAAATCTCGTGGAATTTCATTCCCCCGAATGCCCCACATTTCGGCGGGTTGTGGGAAGCGGCGGTTAAATCTGCCAAGCATCATCTAGCTCGGGTAGTCGGCAAGGCTCACTTAACGTTCGAGGAGATGCAAACGGTACTTTCGGAAATAGAAGCAATCCTTAATTCTCGCCCTCTTACTCCATTGAGCGCGGATCCGAATGACCTAGCATATCTATCTCCGGGACATTTCTTGGTTGGCACGGCGCTGAACAGTTTCCCTTGCCGCGATCTAAATGATGTAAACGAAAATCGACTTGTGCGTTGGCAAAGAGTAGAACAAATCCGACAACATTTTTGGCGCAGATGGAGTGCAGAGTATCTACATTCACTGCAGGAACGGCACAAGTGGAAAAACAACAAGGGTCCTCAATTAACACCTGGCCAAGTTGTTCTGGTTAAGCAGCAAAACCTGGCTCCGTTGCAGTGGACGTTGGGACGAATTCAGGAGGTTCACCCCGGACCTGATGGCGTCGCACGATCCGCTACTGTCAAGACCGCTAAGGGTGTATTTGTAAGGCCGTTGTCGAGGATCGCCGTATTACCCTTGGACACGTGATGTTACAAGTGTTGTGTGTACCGTTGGCTCAGAGCCATTTGCGTGCACGGTTGCGTCGGCAACCAGTCATTATCTATCTCATGCGTAAACTTTAGTTTTAAGACAAGTTGTGTTCTTTTAGTTTGTAAGCAGTTTGTTGGGTCTGTTAAGATCGCGTCACTTTAGTCGTCTCTCTTTTAGCTTGTCTCGTGTTTATTTTAAGTAACCTGCGTTAATTTGTTAACAAGTTGTTTGTACCTTTGGCTATTGAAAGCTAGACCTTTCAAGGGAGGCGGCCTTGTTAAGTGGACTTTCGAGTAGGCGGTTTTTTTTGTGTTTCCCGCGTAAGCGCGGACCTCGGTGTCGCGGGCGCGCTTCGGCGGCGTACTAGTCCGCGCGTTTTTCGGGCGCCTTCGGCGCTCTTCGCGACTCTTCGCGACTCTTCGCGACTCTCGTCTCTACGCGTAAACAAGAACGCGTTGCGACAAGATTACTACTAGATAACACGCAACGATATAATACCCTCTCAAGCACGTTAAGAAAGAGTTTTATTGTGAAATTAGATAAGATACCGAGATCGATCGCCCGCTGAAGTTGTAAAATAAATCATCTTTAAAGCAAAGGAAGAGTCCATTTCTTCCGCCCGTGTCTCTCGAAGCACTTTTTCCTGGAGGTTACACGGACAAATAGCACAGACGCAACACTTTGATTATATCATTTATATATANTATAAATAACAAAGGTCCCAATACTGATCCTTGTGGTACTCCATATTCTGTTGTTAGCAATCTAGACCACTCATGATTAAATCGCACTTGCTGTTTCCTATTGCTTAGATACGATTTAAGCCACTCTAAAACCACTCCTCTAATTCCATATTGATACAATTTCCCTAATAATCTTTCTCTGTCTATTGTCTCGAACGCTCTTTTAAGGTCCATGAAAATTACTCCCACCATTTGCCCCTCACTTACTACTAGTTTCCATTTGTCAATGACAGTTTGAATCGCTGTTTCGCACGAATACTGTTTTCTAAATCCCGACTGATGCTCTGTAATAATAGCATTACTTTCTAGATACATATCAAGTTGTTCTTTTACTATTAATTCTAACATTTTCTCAAATACTGGTAATATATTAATAGGTCTGTATTCACTCGCTTTTCTCGCTTTATCTATTTTTGGTATCGGCACTATCGTCGAAGTTTTCCATCCTTCCGGACAGTAACCAACTCTCAAAGAACTATTTATTACATTTGCAAACTCCTCCTTTATTACGCAGAAAGCTGCTTTTAATACATCACTAGTTATGCCCTCATCCGTACCTTTCTTTTTTGGTAAATTCATAACAATTTTTTCTAACTTGTCTACCCCTATTATCTCGAAACTTTCCATACTTCCTTTGTTTTCGATAACATAAATACTTTTTTTATTTGTACCGCTGAATCTATCTACATTTATAGATTGAACTATATTATTAATACTCTTTACATAGTATAAAATAAACTTATCGGCTACATTCGGCTCATCAATATTATCTAAGATTTCAAAGTCTATACTTTCTACTATCTTTGTTCCTACTGGCTCACCTTTAATTATTTCTTTCAAGGTTTTCCACATAGTCGTAGAATTTTCCTTGTTGATATCTATCATATTTTCATAATACTCTCTTTTTTTATCTCTAATTAATTTTACAACTGTATTCCTTTCAGTTTTAAATTGTAACTAATTTTGCTCACTATTTTCATAAATCGCTTTCTTGTATGCTTTATCCCTTCTATCAGCTGCTTCTCTTATTTTATCTGAGAACCATTTTTTCCCTTCCCACACTTTCGGAATTCTAAACTTTCTTATCGGCGCCACTACATCTAACGCTTCTACTATGCTGTCAACTAGCTTTGTCGCTCTCATACTGAC